CTGTTCACACTTACCAGCTGTTCTGTCGATAATAACGAAAACTGAATTACCTTCTATATCGAGTTCCTCATGAATGCTCTCAGAGAGCAAGAATACAAATCGAATAAAAATCCGGTAGGCTGTCTGCTGGAATTGTCGCTTTTCAACGTCGAGCTTTCTTTGTGCTTGTTGGCGGCAGTTCTACATACACATACATAAATAAAACTTACAGACTTACATCAGTAACCGAAGAACCTCATTACATCGCCCAGCTCTTCTCAAACAATCGAAATAGCAGTTAACATACATACGAATGTTTCTCCTGACAAACAAAAATAACTTTTACTTTTCGTAATTAAAAAAATCATAAAAAAGGCTTCGGGTTCCCACTTTCTCTCCACTTTCATATCATTCAATATGTTCACCTACAGAGCGGAAAGCAGTAAAAAATCAAAATCAAATACCAGAGCAGTAAATATCCCAGCTTTGAGAGACGAAAAAGAAGAAGTCCACAAAAAAACTCAACCAATTGATTTATACTCAAATACACTTTTAATTGCTGGCAAATTTGTAGCTTCCTTAGTAAACTTTGTAAATATTTGTGTGGGTGTGAGTGTCCTTCGAAAGGAGGAGTAGAGAAAAAAGTAAGTAAAACGGATTTAGAAATATTGCTGTTTGTTGATGAAGTATGAAGCTTAACGATAGAGTATGAGAGAGAGAACATAAAAAGGACGAAAAAACGATTGCACGAACAGGGACTTCAAAGCACTTCAATTGAGGGAAAAATATATTGACGAAGCTTTGTTTGGGAGGACGAGAGACCGCCAGCAATGCCGCAAACGCATTTGCCTAATGAAATGAAACTGAAACTTTAAAGGCAAAAATGGTGGTCGTTGGTGCACTTCCTTTTTGGTATTAACGAGTGGCGTAGAGGACGCCATCGATAAGGCAAAAGTGATGTAGAAATGTTCACTGAGAAGGTTATTCACTTAGGGCAAATATGTAGAGAGATGTAAGCTGCCGCTGGCGGTAGGAATAGTGGCCGAGACCGGTAGATCACTACAAATTGCCTGCTAACGAAAACTATTTTGCATGTGCGTTTAATGCACACAATCAGGCGCTGCACAGTGGGGCTTGAGTTGAAATTTGTTAAAAAAAAAATCCATTTTCATTTGAAACCTTTTAATTACGTTTGCATAAGCTAAAAGAGTACAATTCAATAGGTTTTTGGATATTGAAGGTAACTTCAATCATATAGTGCCGACTGCAGTAGATAGACCGCATATGGTACCCAACATCGCTTACAAACGAAGGGGGCACAACTGGACTTGTTCACCCGACTCTCTACAAAAAAAAATTCCGCATAAGTTTGGTATCAAAATGTAGTCCTAGTTACCTGGTGGAATTCTTGATTGATTGAGCATCCTGGATTTCCTCGCGAGGATTTTGTATCTTCTTGTCAACAGTTTCGCATCCGTTTTGTTAGCATTTAACTCTAAGTTGGCTGATATTGCTGATCGATGGACGATCCTTAGAGCACTATCCTTTATGCTACTGATGGTCTAGACTTTCATCGTTGCAACTATAGCTCTGTCGTCCACACAGGTGACAGAGCATCACCTTGAGGTGTTTTCTAAGTGCTATACTGAGCAGCTTGGCTTCTTTCCGCAGCTCAGCAGAGTTTTTATCCATAGTAGGATGGCAGACTCTACCTAGTTTCTTCTGCAATATCTTATTGTTAGCATATGGATACATTAATTTTTTTACTGCAGACCAAATTTCTATGTTGCCCTTATATATACATACTCGTAAGTATGAACATACATATTTATTTACAACAGTTTTTAGAATTTATTAAAAAAAAAAATTGTCTAACGCGGCACCACTGCGGGTTTGCCATTACGCCCCAACTCTCAACCCATTCAATCAACACTTTCATCATCGTCGTCATCGAAATCACGAAGTAGATACCACTACTCAACTCCGGCCCCAGCTGGGCCTGGGCTTGCTCTATTCAAATTGATTGGATTGGGCGAAACGATATGTTACTTTGCCAGCTATGGATGGGTGGGAGGGAGTTTGCACTTACTATTTATATATCTGGAATGAGAATGCAAGGAAAGTTTCACAATGTGGGCGGAATTGCATTTCAGTGTTTGGAGTGAAAGTTTTTGGTATTTTCTTTTTACCTTTTTTGTTTTCATTTCTGCCAAACTATGCATTTGCAGCAGAAGTTTTGTATTAAATCCGCCAATAGAGCGGATTGGGATAATAGTTCAACTAACACTCGTGGCTTTTAATGTATGTATGCGTGTAAGTATGTATGCTCTGCTTGTGTGATTGCACCTTCGGAGACTGGTTAGATAATTAAGCTCAAGGGGAACGTGCTCCTGGATCAGTATATTTTTTCAACCCAAACGACTGGCTCTGGGTTTATCGTGCAGGCTGGCGTTGCGTATGATGCATTAACCTGAAAGTATGTCGGCGGCCGCGGCAGCCGAGTGGTTAGCATTGCGTACTGCCATTTGGAAGGCTCGGGCTCAAATTCCCGTGCGACCAACATCCGAATATTATGGAAAAATAATTTAAATAAATGATTAAGCTAAATTTTCTAATTGCGGTCGCCCCTCGGCAGGGAATTTCAACCCCTCCAAGTGTACTTCTTATATGAAAATCAAAAGCTGCTCATAAAAAAACCATCGGCCGTGGTGGTCGGTATGTATTTACTACAATAGTTGGGTTTATTGGAAAAGCGCTGAAAAGTCAACAATGATGATGCTCGGCTCTTTAGAAAAAAGGGGAATATACATATGTACATGTATGACTGACGAATTGAATTACACCCAAGCTCGTCCTACAATTTTTGGTCCTTATCTAGATATTTTTTATAACTTGCTTCGGAACGACTGATGGTTTTAAGGGAAGCTTTTAAATTTCCATGCAAGAAATATATACAGAAGGTTGATAATCCCGGTCGAATGAGGTACCGCAATTAGTTTTCATCTTTGGATATTGAGCTGGCGGAAGTTCGCATGAGAGCACGCACTGCTGCGATTGCTGCGGCCTTGTCCTATCATACTCGAGCCAAATCTGCTTCGTTATCTCATAGGTGCTTGTGGATTTCCAACTATTCTGTGTTCAAATTGTATGTAAAGCTCTCTCCACTTTGCTAATGGGCACGGACTCAGCTTCGTTCTTGTGAAGAAAAACGTTCGACATGTTCAACGCGTCAACTGCATTGTTATTGAAAATATTCCTGAGGCCAAGAAACCCAGATTATGAAGTTGTGGAATTGACTTACCAGCGAGCTGTAAACCTCCCTTGATTTGTTGACAATATATCATTGATGACGATAAGACTAGCAATACCCTCTGGGTCTCTGAGAATGTGACTGCTTTCTATACCCATTCGCAGTTGTTCAGAAAACACAAAACTGCTGGTCTTTTCTATGTATGCTTACTTTCACTTGGAAGATAATAGCAGAATATGCTAGACTTATAAATAAAGAGAGAGGAGAGGGATGGAGAGAGTCTGATGTCAAGATCTGTTAACTGAAGACACTTGGTGGAGGACACATACAATAGTCCAACGAAGTCAAGTCGCCTAATTATGTCATACCCGAATATAGTACCTTTCGTTGGTGTCTCCACTTGCTCATGCTGTGCTGTGTGCATTGGCAGCCGCGTCTATGACGATTGGGCGTTTCGCCTTCTCGCTCTCAACGTCATGAGGCATGTCATATAATACAAAGGGTATTGTATCATCCTTGCCATCCCTCAAAGTTACCACGGTAAGATCATCTCAAGGGAAAATAATATCCTTATATGAATGTATACTCTTCTTAAGCAGTAGAGCCCTTCTTACCTTGTGTTGGTTGCATTCTGGATGTACGTACAGCACGTATAGGCGACTTTAGGCCAGTTACCACATTTCCTCACGCTATCCATGACACCTGGACTAAAGTCGCTTCCCAGCTGATTGAAAAGAAGTTCAGCAAAAGCGACTTTGCTTTATGGAGATTGATCTGAAGAAACTTCAAAGAAATGAGTAGGGGTCGAGTATAATCCCCGGCTCACCCCACTCAGTCTCCTGGTGCTTCTCGCTTCGCCAGCGGGCTTTACATCACCCCAAAAGCTTCCCTTTCCCATGTCAAAGAGAAGTCGTCCTTGCAGCGTCTTAAGCTTTACTGTTTTCCGGAGATATTTAACCCAGCGGATTACTACGGTCAGTTAGTAATTCGATGAGATATCTCCTAGCTATCTCACTGGCCTGTTGCCCGCGATTTCGATATTTTCGGTTTTCCTTGGAAGAGCCTGATTTTCACTACCGTTTCCACGCTACGCTAGTTTGGCTGGTCTTGCTGGTTTCACTTTTAGCAGCAGAGTACGACCGACCTTTCGCCTGTTTCTGCTTGGCCCAAGCCAACCTTTTCTCGTCTTGCTCTGTCCGGTTGGACTTGCAGTTACGGTTCTTTGTCAGGCACATCAGCCGTCCAGTGTAACCTAACCTAACCTAACTTCAAGAGAAAAACAATTCAAGCTTTAGCAGAAAGTTTACGCTTATGTTGTTTACTTTTTCAATGGAATCTGTGTATATGTGTGTGTGTCTGTGTTAAGAGGATCAAAAAGATTTGTTTCATAAATTTAAAAAATCACCTTGGCATTTTGTAAACAAAATAAACAAACAAACTAGCTGTAGGCTCACAATAACATTCACACATTCCTCCCACACAAACGCACAGAAACACCAATCGACATACATACGAGTATGTACATACAAACATACATATATATAATATATCTACATAGGCAAATTCGAAGCAATTCAATCCAATCATATTTACAATTCTCTTGAAACCAGCATTCAAATCATTTAATTCCATCACTCTTTCTTTTCACAATAATAACAACAACAACAACAACCATGAAAACAACAATGCCGGATTTACAACATAAAACACCGACCATCACAACTGGCCCACCTGCCCATCCTCGTCTGCGTCTGCACTTTGCCCACATTAGATAAGCCCCATTGGTTCGATAATGACACTTCATTGGTGCAATACGCCTACATCGGTGGCATGGTGAATATCTCGTGTGATGCCATGGGCGAGCCACCACCTTCGTTTACCTGGGTGCATGAGGGTCGTGCCATAACCGGACGTAATTATCGCATTTTCTATGCCGATTACGGCTCAACACTACAAATACACGTCCGAAATGAATCGCAACTTGGCGATTATAAGTGCAAAGTTGCCAATCAGTTGGGCATGCTGGAGCGTGTGGTGAAGTTGCGCAAAGGGCAGAAACCAAGCGGACCGACACGTTTTCAATTGCTGCGTTCGTTCACCGATGGCTTCGACCTCGATATCAGATCGGTGAAATACTCGAATGTGGAGGAGAATATGCACACGTTCGGCTATCGTGTGCAGTATATGAGCGAAGGGGATTTTAAGCATAGCGCGGGCAATTGGAGTTATGCCAAACATAAGGATTTTCTTCTGCAACGAGGTGAGTGATGGAAGGGTTTTCACCTGAAAATTTTATAAAGTTTTATTTAATTTTATCTAAATTATCAGTTTTGTTATTTAAAATTTTTCAGTTTACTAAAATTTTACAGGTCAACAATTTTTTTCACTTTCTCAATTTTTATGAGATTCCCCGAATTTTTCAATGTGGTATTTTGGTGCTAAATCTCATCAAGGGTTCAATTAGAGCAGTATTTAGTTCAAGGACTGATATGATCTTAAGTTTTTCTTTGTGTGCAAAACTTCTAGCGACACCTCGCGTTCCAGGAACAGTTCTGTTTAGCCTTCCGGCTAACAACCTTACTTATCTTGATTTCGACTTCGACGTGCCCCTAATAATGTATCATTAAAAGGAATGCACTATAACACTTCTTAAATGCGTAAGGACCTAGGTTAGCTTCCGAGAAGTCACAGCATCCCAACTGCACTTAACGTCATAAAGGCCCAGATAGTCCAATTCCTCTATCAAAAAATATCCCGCACGAACAATTCTGGTAGCACTGAATCTGTCAAAGGCCTTAGACACGGTTAACCATTTAGTGCTACTATAATACATTGAGGTTTCCTCACCACCGTCGCGGTTGAAGAGGTAGAGTATGGACTTTCAGAGTGGCCGACGGTCATCGGTAGAGTTTCGAGATCAATTATCCAAACACCTTTAGATTTAACATGGGCTTCCGCAGGATTGTGTCTCCCCGTTTCTGTTTAACTTGACCCGCCAGCGAGATTAAAACCATTCTACTATTACTAACAACTCTGTAGTTCACCATTGGCGACGATAAGACAAGCGATTCCCCTGGTATATAGTTAGCTTTTGTTCTTCTCTACACCTAGTTACTTCCGCTTAGCTAAGTTTGGTAGACACAAAGAAAACGAGACTTTACTGTCCGCAAAGTATATCACCCACAATCTATTTTGGAACCGTCTGCGACAATATATCGTCTCATTTATGCACGTCTATGGAGTATTGTAAACTGAAAGCAGCCGTTTCAATTTAACCTTGGGATGATCTGACCTGATTTTTGCTATGCACTCCACTCCAAGAGTCTAATAACCGAATCAGCTGTAACTTTGCGAATAAAGCTGTCTAAGTCACGTTTTTCGTGAAGTTTAAGAGATCCTTTTCCTAACTCATCCTTTATTCGGCACTGATATTGACTTGCTGCGGTGAAAATATTACTTCAAGGGTTACCTAAGATCTACATTACATTCCGTACTTGTATGTATTGAAAGTTCCACTGACGAGCCCCCTTGGTCTGTTGCTTTCTGGCGCAGTCAGTGCTTAAGCCACTACAGCAAAAGTATTCTCATCCATCCGGATTATATGAGTTAGCGAGCTTAGATGCTGTCTCTTTATGCGCAGAATCATTGCAATGTCGCCGTATATCTTGTACAACTCATCGTTCCATCGACTGTGGTACTCGGCGCTGCCAACGCTCAAAGGATCATAAATCTGACCCACCGTCCATGCCTCCGCACAATAAAGCTGTACGGAGCTGTAGAGCTAGTTGGCAAGAGAGATTCTGAGTTGGATTTCCATGCCGACATTCTTCCAAGATAGACTAAATCATCTGACCGGAAACAGTGTATTCGCCTTTCCCTCATTCACTGCCAGACCCATATGGTTCGCTCCTTATCCGGTGTGGAGCAAAAACTAACGGTTGGGTTGTTGCTGTCGATGTTGTCAAAATCTGCATACTCCAGAACTGTACGAAACCTGGTGGTATCGAACGATTCGAAAAGGCCCTTCCCGATATTGTCGGAGCTTTTTGGTATTGCTTTGCGTCAGCTTACTTAGCCGCATAAGTTTTGCGCGGATACCAAATTCAGGCATAGCAACGTAGAAGCAGCTCCATTTTGTAAGATCGAAAGCTGCTTCAAAATCGACAAATAGGTGGTGTGTTTCGATTCTCTTTTCACGGAAATTTTCCAAGACTTGGCGAATGGTGATGTTGATGAGTCTGAAGCCACGCTGATAAGGTTCAAGAAGTTTGTGAGCTTAATTTTCCATACAATGCACTCGAGAAGAGATTCTATGCGATATTAAGGAGACTTATCCCTTGCGCCAACCACTCTCTTTTGTTATTCAAAACTACTCCAAAGCACTTGGTATTTTCCCTAATTGTTGACTACAGCCCGCTAAATTGAATAATAAAAAAGAAATCAATACAAATTTTTCTCTTTAGTTGAAATTTTAAGTTTCACATTTCCTTAATTCACTTTATACATTTGTTTCAATTTTCGTTTTCAATTCGAAATCAAAACTTTCCCTTACGATTTTCTTCCTCCCCTCGCAAACAGGTGGCCGCTTCGTGCTCGACGGTTTGGATCGCAACACCACGTATTTGGTGCGCGCCGCAACACGCAACAAGGCTGGTCTCAGCGATTGGAGTACGGTGAAAATTTTCGCTACACTAACTAATTTCGGCCGCAAAACAGTCATGATTATTATCTGGCAGACGAGCTTGATAATTGGCTTAGGATACACACTTAGTGAATATGTCAAATTTGGCGCGTATATTTAAGTTCACGCAGAAAATTATTAGCAGTGGTCATGAGTATTGTATGCATAACTGTATATTCTCATATATATTTTACTATTTTACAATAATTTTTGTTCACTCCCCCCCCCCTCCCCCTTTGGCTCCTCCACACAGTACATAGAAATGCTTTCCTTGTTATTTAAATTATTGGTAAAATGTATGACGGAGGTTTAGTTGAGAGGGTTGGTTGAGAGGGTCAGTTGAGAGAGTCAGTGATGTAGAAAATAATGATTTGGTCTTCAGAGAGTGTGAGAAACTGACTGAAATTGGAAATGGAATTGCCATCCGCAAGCTAGTATTCTTACTATTTAGATACTACTGGAACAGAGGTGCTTAGGATGAGAATGACACTACTTCTACTTAGAGTAAGCGTCCACCGCTGTTATTATTATTAAAGCGGTTTGTTCAACATCGCCTAGGAGCAGCCAAAGCAACGAGATCATCTACCGGAAGGTCCAAGAATCACACTATTTCGATCGATTCAGACCAGAAGGAGAGGAATATAAGATAAGTAGGTTTTAGTGGACACGCGAGGAGATGGTTAAGGTTATGCACGATTTCATTGTATTCAGTAAATATATTGAAAGTGGCGGGTTTAAGTATGGCTAAAAGAGAAACAGACAACAGTGTTCAGATCTAAATTGTGCTGGTATTACTCGAGTCTCGCTTGTCAGCTCCAACACCACAATTTCTATGGGTGGCGGTTGGTTTCCGAGCATACCATTTACAGAAAACTAGTTTAAGAAGTAGTTGACGGTGTCTCTGCGAATGTTGTTTGAGGAATCTCGATAATTTGTTCTGTTCAGCGGATCTACTCTTTTTTGTTAATGTTCTCGGGGGAACTCAATCGTTAACTATAATATGAAAAGGATATAGGTTCAAACTTTGTCAATTTACCAAGTAATGTTGACCAGAAAAATGAGAAAAAATTTATAGGACCTTCCGCTTTAATACTTTCTCGAGGCGTTTACTTTCGTTGTCATCTTCATTAATGTTAACGTCATGTCCAAGCAACACAGAAGCTGTATCCTCGTGAGCTCATTATAGAACTCATTCAGTTCGTGGTTCAACCTGCTTCCATTACGCAGACAGAGCAAACGATCTTTCGTAGAATAGAGCTACAGGAATGCTCCTAGATCATGCTCGTCTTTGTTCGTCATCGTCAACGTTTCTGCGGTATATTAAAAGAATATGACTGAGTGTCGTCAGCAAAGTTTCCGATATAAGAACGTATGTTCCGGAAATCTTATCATCTGCAGCTGGAAGTTTGAGTGGAAAAAAACAGCTGCTTCGTTGTCTCTTCAATAGAAATTTATAAAAATAGAATAGTTAGAAAGATCCAGGACCTGATAGAACTCGAAGTTTATCTACGAGTTTACAGTTTCTTGAAATATCTGTTGAGTATATTACGAACTATTGAAAGGGTGTTTTTTAGACGTATGGTTTTCAATGGGGCAAAACTTGGTTCGGGGTCGATCTCGTTGACAGCTGTACACAACGAGCACTGCGTCTAATAATCAGCCGACATAACGGCCCAGCAGAGTCGGTAATTCGAGTAACCATTGGAAACTTTTGGTATGTACATTATCTCGCGTCGTCGGTCTGTATCATGGCCTTTAAAGTCTTTTGTTTGGGCAAAACATTCGGTGCATTATTGCTGGCCTACGGTCTCACTCGCTGTAAAATTGGTCAAAACTTCAGCCTCATGGCTGGAATTGAGCCAGTAGTCTCCTTTAGGAACCCGAAAAAAGCGTTTTTTCGGGAATTTTTTGGAAGGAAATTATTACGGTAAACAAAATTTTCAGCCAATAATGTACTATATTTAAGCTTCAAAAAACAATTTTTAGTATAAAATAATATTGGAACTTTCCAATTTTGTTATGAGTTTTCTGCAGCGGTTGCAGTCTGAACTTGTGAAACGGTGCCGGTGATGGAGGTCGGCGATGCATTTGAAACAGTCGAGCTAACTTTTTTTTTTTGATTTTCATACGTGTGTCTTCCATATAAAATAAAAAAACTTCCCGAAGAAGCTTGGAAATTACACATTTTTTTAAGTTTGAAAAAAAGTTAACTTTTTTGAAAAAAAAAGTTTAAATAATATATTTACCCAAATTTTAGTACAAGTAGTAGTAGAAGATAATTTAGTATTGAAGCTAGTTCACTTGAATTTTTTCGATCAGAACTGTATTCTTTTTGCTATCACCGGCACCGGTTTTTAAGGTCTATAAAAATTAAAAATTCAAAAAATGTGCTTCAAAACCTGTCCGTTCATTCGAACCTGCTAGGCGCTCGGCCACTAAAACTGCCTTAACTTCTAAAAAAATGTCGACTTGACCACTGAAATTTTGAGCTCCTATTCTTGGATAGTTTTAAAAAAAAATCTGAAGGAAAAATTGCATTTTTTAAAGCTTTTAAAGCAGACTAATGCCTCAATTCGACCCAGCTGCAGCAGTCACTTGCCTGAAATAATTTTTAAATAAATTAATAAATTTTATAATAAAGCCAAATACTTGGCCACAACATTAAATTATACGCGTTTTATTTCTTTTCGAAGACCACATGTCTAAACAAGCACCCTTTGTGTGAGAAATTGCTCAGTCGTTGCAGGCTCTTTCAGCTCTCTATTTCACAAATCGCTGACGCTCTCAAAACGCTCTCATAAATTGAAAATTGTTATTAAGATCTCTATTAAATAGTTGTATCACACACTACTACATATATAGTTGTTAAATGTTTACGGTTATTAAATTATATTAGTATATATATATATATATATACGTACATTTATAGTTAATTCAGTTAGCTTTTTACGTACCTGATTTATTTTGATTAACGTTGCTCATATTTATCATCAATTACATATGTATGTCGTTAATATTGATATTAGCGAAGGACTACACTACCAAATTTTTCATTAGCTTGTAAAATATACTATTTCAAAACAGTTTTGAATCCGCTTTTCAGATTCTGTGATAGCATAAAAAATTTTGATTTTATATTAAAATATTTTTTTTTACTTCATTGGTAAACAAAAGCTGCACATATTTCCCCAACACCTTCCTGCCTACCACTTTTTCCGAAAGCTAAAATACCTTTTACTCTCCCCTTTTCCAAACACCTTTTCTCAATAACAAGAAGAGGAAAAAAACTCATTCAGAAAAAGTGTTCAGCATCGTTTTTGTACTTTTTTAAATGAAATTCTTGTAAGAAATTTACATCTGTGTCATAAAACAAATAGAAAAAACAAACAGAAATAGAAAAAGAAAAAAACAAAAGAGAAAGAGAAAGCAAACATAATAAAGAACTTGAAAAGATTTTACTTCATAAGTGAATAAGTCCAGGATAATGAATGTAAAAGAGAACCTGAATAGAAAAAGGTGTTAGATTATCGTGAATTGAAATAGAGAAGCAAATAACGATTATTGTAGCTTAAAGTATATAAAATTACAAGAAAAAAATACAAAAAAAAAATAAAAGAAAAATACAAAAACTAGTTAATATTAAATAAAAAAGGATATAAGATAAAAAAAACACTAAATAAAAACGAATATAATTCCAGTGAATGTGCGAAAAATGTTGTTTTATTTTATTACTCAACAAAAGGTAGGCAGGTAGGAATGTCAACAGGAGCAATGAAGCTCCTTAACGATAAGTTAAATAAAAAAAAAAAAATTGAAATAAATAAAATGAATGTTTTATGGAAGCCTACTAGACCAACATTTTAACAACTTTTAATATTTATAATTTTTGGAAAAAGCAAATGGGCTTGCACGCCAACGGAAAAGGGGTACGTACTTACACAAAAAAATAGAGCCCCTTGATTGGGTATTCGGCTCGATCTGGGATCATCCAACAGCAGCTCGGTATGAGGAAACTGTGGGACGACATTTCCAGTTTCCTCACCCAGTGACTTCTTCAACTTGTGCTAGAGAAAACAGTATGAGCTGAACGGCCCCCACGACAATGTTTGCAGTCATAACTTCATCTATCTCTTATCCAATTGACGTCACACAGCGGAATGAAGAATTGAATGGCGCCATGTTGTAAACTCGAGAATAATTGCATCGAGAATAATCGCATCGCATAAGCGGTCTTTAGGCCAGTAAAGAAGAAGAATAATAAAATACTCAACTATCATAAAACGAATGATTCTTCGGTAGATATGTAGCTTTGCGGCACAGCAGGAACTTTGGCATTCTTTCAAAATTCCATTCGAAAGGTTTCAGAATAATTGTCTCGCTCACCTTACTAAGTCACAGAAGAGCAACTTCCTGGAGATCTGAATACCTTAACTGTCTCAGATGAAATTTAAAAAATATTCCGTGTCATACACGAGTAAGCTGAGATTATTAAATTATCCAAACCCGCTCTTTATAATGGAATTAACATCCAATTCAATAGAAAGTCAATAGCAGTCACCAGTAATTAATTAATATTCTTTTAAAAAAATGGTGTAAATGAGCCCATTCCATGAATGTTATTATATTGTTTCAAATTACTTCAGAAGTTGCAAATCAAATTTAAAACTTCTTTGCAAGAATTGGAGACCCTGCCAAGGTTCTGTCATACTCTTCAAGCTTACTTTGACTCAACTTTCTCTCATCTCTTTTCTTTTCGAAAATTTTGTGGCTCCCAGCAGAGAGTATAACAGACGACCTCTACCAAAGCGATTATAAATCAGCGCAATATAGAGCGCCGACTCTTTTGGTTTAGCTTTGACTGGAGAAAAACTACTCACAACCGCTCGGAGGTAATAATAATACGGTTATGTTTCCAAGAACCGAGGAAATAGAAAAAAATCAATTGTGAAATTTTCAAAAGAATTATGTATGTTCTCGACACCACACATTTACATTGCTCGATTATTGAACATAAATATATCATCAACTAACTATGATTTATTTACTCTTGCGACACAAAAGAAAAAAAATGTTCTGTGGCATACAAAGTTAATTATGACACAAGAATAAATAGAGAAAATTGGTATACCATTAATCTCCATCGATTATATTTTCTCAACTAACATCTGTGTTTACTATGTAATGTCTATATAATCGTTCATACATTCATACACACATATGTATATATATTATATAATTTATGCATAATTTTCCCTTTTTAATACAATTTTAATTACATTGTAATCAATAATGCACACAAACACATATACATACATATAAATATCACCATAATATTGTATTATGCTCGAAATGTCAACATCAAATGAAATATTATTATTTTACATTAATACGAAGTAATTGTGCAAATACAGGAAGATGCGTATTTGAATGACACCAACAGAGGTTAGGTAATATTAAATAATAACGGCATTTCCTTTTATGCGGAGCATACAAACGCAGTAGTAGAATAAAAAAGACAAAATAATATTTAATACATTAAAATTTAAAAAATAAAAACAATAAATAAAATAAGGTAAAAATAAAAGAAAAAAATAGACAAAATAGAATAAAATATGAAGAAATTTAAAAAATAAAACAAAATAAAAAAAAATAAAAATAAACAAAATAAGGTAAAAACGAAATAAAATAAATTAGACAAAATAAAACATAGTAAAATTTAAAAAATTAAATTAATAAAACAAAAATAAAGACAATAAATAAAATAAGGTAAAAATAAAAAAAAATAGACAAAATATAATGAAATTTAAAAAAATAAAACAAAATAAAATTGACAAAATAAAATTTAAAAAATAAAGCAAAATGGCATTAATGAAATAAAGAAATAAGATAAAAACGAAAGAAAATAAAATAGGCAATATAAAATAAAATATAATAAAATTTAAAAACTACAAAATAAAATTAATAAAATAAAAATAAAGACAATAACTAAAATAAGGTAAAATAAAAGAAAATAAAATAGACAAAATAAAATAAAATGAAATTTAAAAAATAAAACCAAATAAAAAATAGAATAAAAATAAAGAAAGGTAAAAATAAAATAAAATAAAGGCAATAAATAAAATAAGGTAAAAATGAAAGAAAATAAAATAGACAAAATAAAATAAAATATGAAATTTAAAAAATAAAACAAATTACAAAAATAAAATAAAAATAATTAAAATAAGATAAAAATAAAATAAAATAAAGACAATAAATAAAATAATTTAAAAATAAAAAAAAAAGAAAGTAGAGAAAATAAAATAAAATGTAATGAGATTTAAAAAAAAAAATTAATGAAATAAAAAATAAAGACAATAAATAAAATAAGGTAAAAATAAAAGAAAATAAAATAGGCAAAATTAAATCAAATATAGTAAAATTTAAAAACTAAAACAAAATAAATTTAAAAAAATTAAAATGAAGACAATAAAATAAATTAAAAGAAAATAAGATAAAAAACAAAATTAAATATTAAATAAATACTGAAAATAAACCAAAGTAAAATAGAAGAAAAGTAAATTAAATTAAATAAAAGTAAAGAAAAATAAAATAAATTTAAACAAATTAGATCAAAGTATATGTAATATAATATACAACACAAAAAAAATAAATTAAGTAAAAAATTATACAATATACTCACATACAAAAAATTAGGAAAAATAAAAAATTGTATAAACAATTAAATAATAATAATACACTCCAGATTCTCATCTTACTCTGCTTCCACCGTTGGGTATTGCATCAATTACTATCAAAGCCGAGGTATTATCATTCTTCGCAACCAGCTTAGCCGTTATCTCTTGATTCGTTGTAAAGTTTGCTTGTCGAGAGAGGACTTTACGCTTCAATCGTCTACTCATTCCAAAGTGACACCTGTTGGCATGACCAACTCTGCGTTGGATTTCAAGGTTCACATTGTTGTTGATGTTAATGTTGATTGATAGATAGACGAAGCTATCTACTGTCGTTTGGCAGAAGCTGTACGCTCATATAGTAGATCCTACCTTATTTAGTATTAAAGGGATGAAATCACATGATATGGAATCACCTCGCCTGAAATCTCGTTTAGTATTGGATAGCTCGGGGAGATCCTTCCTGATCCTGACATAGCT